TTTTTTTTTTCGAGAAAGGAGAAACTTGATTGCTCATGAAAAAAATGTTTCAACAGTTCATATATGTGTACAAAACTAATTTCGTCTTTCGCAGTAGCCAGCTTGGCAAAGCACACAAGGAAGCAGCTTGTGAAGGTGAGGGCATCCTAACACTGCAGTTGTAGGATTCAAAGTACCAGACAGCAATGACGGCCAAATTCATTCAAGGAGGAGTGAGCATGCTATGAGACACAAGCTCCTGTTGCCGTATTTCTCTGCTCAGGACCACCTTTTTTTTCATGTTGAAATTCTTCGGTTTAGTTGAGAGAGACTCCACAAGGAGATTGAGAGAGAGAGAGAGAGAGAGAGAGAGAGAGAGAGAGAGAGGGAGGAATATCGAAGAGAGGTCGGCCTGGTACCCTCTCTGTCTCACATCCAACACCCTTTTTCTCTCTCCGTTTCATTTTCGGGCCCCCTGAAGGGACTAAGCCCAGGAGTGAACTCCCACGGCCGAAGTTGAGTTTTCTCAACGCTGAGCTTTCTATCACGTGTGGCATGGTGGGACGAGCTCTGCTGTTGATGTATTGTGAATCTAAGGGTACTAAAATACAGGAGAATAACCTATAACCTATTAGATTTGGTCGTTTTGTAGATTTTTTCTTTGACGTGAAATCCGTTTTGTCGTATGCTTTTTTTTTTTTTTTTTTTTTTTTTTTTTTTTTTTACACTCTTCTCTCAACTTCTGTTTTTTTTACCTTCCATTACCTACTCCTAAGACCATCTAGAGGGGACCCCTGCAAGCATAGTTTTCCTCTCTCTGTGAAGGGGAGACGTATGCTTTGGCCCTTTCTTCCTTTCTTCCTTTCTTTGGGTCTCGTTAGACACTCCTAAAAGTTCCAGTTTTTAGGATTGCGTGTTGGTTGCACGCAATCCTCAATCGGCCGCGGGAATCGAAAATGTGAAAACGGCGTTAGGACTCGTCCTAAAAGTTTTAGGATTCCCCAGGCAAATCGTCCTAAATTTTCCAGTAGCCCCGGAGCTACTGAAAAATTTAGGATTCCCGATTATCACGGAGTCGGTGCGTCGCGCGCATGGCACCGTCGCCACAGGGTTGCTGGTCCAGTAGCGGTCCGTCGGGTGGGCGGTTGGACATCGGAGTTTTGGAGCGGGCCGAGGCTGGCAACGGCCAGCGGTGGTAGCCGTTGGCAGCCGGTGGCGAGCGGGGCGGTTGGGGTGGGGCTGGGGGGTCTGGCGACCGTCTGCGGGCTGTCGGCCGTAGTGGACCGTTGTCTCGACGTTGCTAGCGACGGTGGAGGACGACGTCGGTCTCTCCACGACGCACGGTGGCGCGGGCTCCGAGTGGTGGCGGCAACGGTCATTTTTTGAATCGCATGCTGCCACCTTCGTTGTTCTCTGGCTGTTGTAGGCATATGAAGGTCCACCGGGCGCGACTCCCCCCGCATGTTACAGCAGTGTGGTGCAGTAGCAGTCGGGTGCGCAGTTGGGGTTGGTGGTGAATTTGATGGCTGACGTGGGGAGGAGATTTCCTCTGCTCGTGCTCGCCGTCGTCGTCTTCCTCCACGTGTGTTTGTCGTGGCGCCCGTGGAAACAACATACCAAGAGGAGGGCGTCGACGAAACGGTCGGCAGGAGAGCGTACAATGGCGGGCATGCAGGGACGCGCGGGTGTTGGTGCGGGTCAGGGCGGAATACGAGCTGCGACGGCGGTACGACCCATCCATGTACGCCCATTTGCAGTCGTGGGAGACGCCGCTGCCCCGTCGGACAAGGAGCCCGAGACGGAAGAACTGCCAACGTTGCCTCTTGCCAGCGGCTCAACGCAGCTTTGGTCGCAGACAGTACGAGCAGGCGGTTCGGGTTGCAACGAAGGCGGCGAGTACACGTCTTTGCTGCAGCAAGGCTTGGGAGACGACGACGACGGAGGACTTGATCTCAGGTTCGGCTTATGTTCAGGCGGGTCCAAGGAGGCGAGCCGTACGTTGATCATCGACACCGATCCTTCGCCACGTGGCGTGGAACAAGGTGGGAGTCACCGTACGGATCAAACCACCCTTCGTGCCCGTGCGTCCGTGCCTGCCAGTGTCGGGCCATCTGCAGTGCTCCGGCGTCAAGGTTCCACAGCACCGTCCGCCGATCGATCGACAAGTAACTGGCCTGCACGCAACGGAGCCGCAGCCGGGTCACCGCGCGTCGAGTGTGCACGTCCTTCGATGCCCGAACGCACAACACCGACCCAATCCGACGTGAGGGACGCGGGTGCATGCAGACCACTGGTGCGTCCAGTACCCACTGTGGAGAACATCACACGAGGTGTGTCGAACATGCGGGCACACAGTGATGGCGGCGGCGACGACGGTGTTGGAGGTGACGATGCTGACGAGCGATTGACGGAGGACGTGGACGCAGGCCGGGAAGTCTGTGATGTACTGGTCTCCGGAGGAACAACTGCAACTAGTGAGATGCAAGCGGGAGCAAGAGATGCACCTCGCCGGGCTGGGCCACAACTACGAGCGGATGCGGACGAAGGACTGGAAGTGGGACGACACTGCAAAGCGCATGGCGAGCGCGGGGAAACCGAAAGACGCGGACGAACGCATGAAGAAGTGGGACAATCTGTTCCGAAACTACAAGAAGATACAACGATTTCAGAACGCAAGCGGTCGTCCTGATTTCTTCGGCCTTACAAATGAGGAAAGGAAGGAGCACAATTTCAAGTTCCAGATGGAGAGAGCGCTTTACAACGAGATCCATGCTGGCATGCTGGGCAACCTACAATTTTTCCTCGGAACATCGCCGACACAGGAAATCCTGACGGGGTGCAGCTTCCCAGGAGAGGAGGTGGCGGTGGTGAGTCGGTTGGTAGTGAGGCTGGTGGTGAAGGCTTCCCCGAGGAACGCTCTTCTGCGCGGGAGTCTGAGAACATTTTCACGAGGCAATGTGACATACTGGAGCAGGAAGTCGCAGTCCAGAAAGAGCACTACGCGGCGTCCAATGAAACGCAGAGGATGATGTGCCACGCGCTTCTGGAAATCGCTGCGGCCATCCATGGTCGGACGACGATGTAGTGGTCCTTGGTGTCCCGTCCGAGTGTTCAGTTGTAAATATTTTTAAACATTTTTTTATTTTTTGCTTTTGTTTCATGAAGGCTGTGTGTGCGTGTGTGTGTGTGTGTGTGTGTGTGTGTGTGTGTGTGTGTGTGTGTGTGTGTGTGCGTGTGTGTAGAAGATTCTGCAGCTACTGCAGCACCTGCTCCTTCAGGTGGAACGCCAGGTTGTGGAGTTAGGTTCATCTACTGCATCATTGTCTTCTAATAAAAAGATATCACAGTACAATATTAGACTTCTAGAAAAACAAAAGTTACGTTTTTATTATGGACTTACAGAACGTCAACTACTTAAGTATGTAACTATCGCCAGAAATGCTAAAGGCCCAACAGGCCAAGTACTTTAATATATCTATGTATAAATGTATATATATTCATATAATAATATTCATATAATAGACAATATAATACTATCTATCTATTTATTTTATATTCTCCTATTTTATTAGTATATATTTCTTTTATTATATTTTATTTTATATTCTACTACTCAAATAGACATATATCACAAAAATAGAGATATCTATAGTATTCTAAGCGGGCGCGGTTGCGGGTGTTTCAGGCAGTGCGCCCCCAGTTCCAGCGGCGAGAGAGGAGGGAGCAGTTGTGGCGATGGCGAGGGACGACGCGCGTGGAGAGAAGAGGAGTGATCGGGCAGGCGGCGAAGCTGGTTCGAGCAGGCCGCGCAGGGGAGTGTTGACAAATGATCTCATAGACCGTGCCGTCCTTTGGGTCGACGACAAACCTTTCTGGACGACGAGGGAGGGGCGAAGACTCTACAACATCGTACACCAGACAAGAGAGTACTTCGTCGCCATCACCAACGGACTTCCACCGCCTGTGATCCCTCGGAGCGTTGTGATGCCCAAATCCAGCACGCGGATAGCCAGGATCGCCGACCCGTCACAGCTGCAACAAGCGACCTCCCGTGCGTCGGCAGTGGAGAACATCACTCTCCTCGTATTGCACGGCTGGGTTTTCAAGTCTGGGAACCGCCCGAGGGGTTACAATCTTGCATTCCAGTACGCCCTGGAGTCTGTGGCGACGGACATAGCGCGAGCTATGTGGTACGGCAAGGAGTGGTGCAACGTCGTCAGCCCGGCGGTTTGCGCACACACAATAGATCTCTCCATGGACTTGCCATTGTGGTTCGCGGGCGTGAAAGTCGAGAACAAACCGGACGACGATGACGTGGCGGCGTACCAGGAGTCCACCATCATCTGCGTCGCGCATGCGTTCCGGGCGGCAGTGCAAATGGGGGTGGTCATCGACGGCGAGTTCATCTCGCACGATCGTCTTTGCTGGGTGACTGACTGCTTTAGACTGTTGTTGGCGGCGTGCATGTGGATAATGCGCATGTCGGGAGACGATCCGCGCAGCCACTTCGAAGCTTTCCACTTCCCGACACTGGTGTCGAAGCCCACACTCGTGGCGTCCATGCATCGGTCGTTCGACCATCGTCGATCCATTCGGCTCGCCATGAAAGCCGTCACGGAAAGGCTCGGGAAGGCAAACGCCACGTTTGGAAAGCACCCCGACTACCTTCCTCATTGGGCAGACCGCGACATTGTGTTCGGACACGACGCAAGGATTGACGGGCCGGAGGAAGCTAAGAAGCTCGATTGGTTGGGTTCGGGTCCCGCCGATGATGACAACGACGATGACGACAAGGGTGACGCGTAGAGGGGGGCGAGGTGGGCGGTATGTGTGGGCGGGTGAGTGGGTAGGTATCCGGGGGGGGGCTTGCTGTTGTGTGAACGCGGGCGAGTGGACACATGGCAGGTCATGCAGTTGCCTCTTTGCATGCGACCGACTTTATAGCGCTTTCATCACCGCGGAGGGGGGGAGGGGGTCTTAGCGCGTCGGCAGTGCGGCGAAACCCGGATGATTGGTTGATTTCGTTTGTGTATCGTTTAGTGCAGATGTGTAGTGTGCAGGTCGTCGTAGTCGACGACGAGTACGTTAAAGACACTCATGTGTTTTGTGTTTATCATCCCAGTTGGGTCGACAAGCAAATCGCAAGCGCTTTCAGCGCACCTTTTCTTTACTCTTCTTTGTTTGTCTGCTCAACGTGTTTTGTGTTTATCATCGCAGTTCGATCGACATGCAATTCGAAAGCGCTTTCAACGCACCTTTTCTTTAGTCTTCTTTGTTTGTCTGCCCTCCACCTTCGCACCGTTGTTATCCTCTCAGCGATGGATGATCAAAAGATGTTTGCCTCGCATGCATGCACACAACCGAAGACGACGTCCTTGAAATGCGCTTTGTATTCGTTGTATGAGGTCGACCAACTATCATTAATGTTTTCGACAGCATTTTGTGAAGCTCACAAAAAAGATCGTTGTATGAGGTCGACCAACAGCACACGAAAAAGACAGTGATAGACGAACTGACGACGTAATAATTGAGACAAACAAAAAAAATTGTAAAAACATTGCAAGCAAAAAAAAACAAAAAAACAAAGACTCGTCCTGAAACGAAGAAGATTTCATGAAACACATAAAACTGAGGAGCCAAACAAAAGAACAACATACGAATGGCAGCTGGAAGCTCAACCCAATCAAAAGGGGAAAAAAAAAAAAAAAAAACATTTGAAGCGACTGACAGCAAGGAAAAAAAAAGGTCGTTCCAATATTAAATGTTCGCACGTACGTGCGAACCACGCAACCCTCCACACGACGAACACAGCAAACGAAATCATCACCGACGACCATGCATCCGTCCGCTCTACAGAGCTACTTCGCTGACGACGACCGCGGGCCACGGGCCACGTCAAAATATGAACCCTCCTACTGATCGCACTGACCCACGTCCACAATCCCGACACCCCCGACACACACACACCCTACACACACACAAACCCCCACCACGCGTCTAAGTGCTCCAACATCAAAGCCAGCCGGTCTCGAAGAGCGTCACGCAACAAGTCCCCGTCGACGTTCGTGCAACGTTGCCGCCCGCCCGCGCCGTTCCCCACAATGCCCAAGTCCACTCTCTGGCGCACACCATTCTCATCCACCTCCCACAACAGGTTTTCATCGAAGTCGATCCCGGCGTCTAGGAGGATGTTGTGCAAAGTGCACACTGCCACGAATTGCTGCGGCAAGGTATCCAGGTTCGTCTAGTGGGTGCGTAAGAAAAAACGCCACATGCACTTCAGCCACCCGAAAGCTCTCTCCACACACCCCCGCGCCACCTTCTGCCGCGTGTCAAACCGCTCCTCCTCAAGACCTTGGTCGATTCCTCCGTACGGCTGCACGATCCAGGGGCAGACAACAGGATAACCGTTGTCGCCTAGCAGGTAACCTCGCGTGACGACTCCGTGCGACAGACTCACCGGAGGTGCGTCGAACAGCTCGCCAGCTTGTGCACGCCTCCACAGCTGGGAATTGTGCAGGACACGGACGTCGTGCACGCTTCCCGGGTATCCGATGTGGACGTCCATGATCCGCAGATCCAAATCCACTACCACCTGCGCCTGCACGGAAAACTTTTGTTTGCGGTCGTAGTAGTTGGCAGATGGTCCGTCGACGGGCTTGTCAATGAAGATGTGTGTGCAGTCATTTGCGCCGAAGCAGTTGGGGAAACCCTTGTCACGGAAAGCGCGCAGAATCTGCGCGCGTCTACGGCCCACTGGCCACTTTATCGCGTCTGGGTACGCCTGCAGCACTGCCGAAGTGACGTCGCGGACGGCCTGCAGTCCAGTTGCTTTCCCGATGCCGAAGGCAAAAGTGCCGCTCTCGTACGTCTCTCCTGACGCCCACCTGTACAGCGGGAACGTGATGACCTGCTCCACCGACAATGACATCCTATAGTGCGTCACCTTCTTCTCCACGTACGCGGCGCACGCGGCCACGATCTGCCTGAACATGGCCATCGACATGCGCAACTTCTGGCGGTAGTACTCGTCCGTCGCATCGTCACACAGGCGGAGGTCCTCCCATGTTCCGCCAGTCCGTCGTTTAATCCACCAGCGTGGAGTCTCCCGCGGGAAAACACCAGAAGACAGTGTGGCGCACAACTGGATGACTGCCTGACACGTGGCCACGCAATCTGGCGCTTCGCCAATGCGCTGCAATAGCGCTTATCGTTTGCGGAGCTCCGCCAGCGCGTCGCGTGACGAGGACGGGTCACCGCGCATCTTGTTCACGACGACCGCAGTCACGGCCATCGCCACCGCCACCGCCTCGATTTCGTCATCCCGAAGACCCTGCCCGCGCCCGCGAACGTCCATATCCAAGAACCCCGTGCTCTCCATATCTAGATGCCTGCCACAACCGCCAAACAAATGCCCGGTGCTGAAAACCGCCACTTTGACGACGCACGCCGGTGCCGAAGATGCGGCCGCTCGTGTACGACGGCACAGGACATGACGCACGGCGCAGCCGAAGACGTGCCCGCTGCTCCACGCTTCCACAGGGCAGCGCGCACGACGTAGGTGAAGAAGCGCCCACCACGAAGATGCGCCCGCTGGTCACAAGTTGCGCGGAATCGAAAGACGGATACCCACAGCGTGCACTTCGCCACCACCGTCTTTTTGACGTCACACGCGTCGCCTGGCCTTCCTCCGCCGCGCTACCCTGCATCCGCGAAAATTCAAATTTGAATTTTTGAAGTTCGGGGGGACCGCGCTTTTCACCCACCCCTTTTTCCTCCGCCCAAGGGCCTCCGCACTGTGTACCACGGACAACATCTAGGAAGGGACGGACATCGGCGGCGCGGCTGCGTATACGCATATGAAAACCAGCCGCGGGAGACCTATTAGGAGGATTCCTAAAAGATGATTTTTAGGACTGCGTGTAACGACGACGCACGGAATCCTTAAAAACCTTTAGGACTCGTCCTAAAAGTTTTAGGATTCTTTTAGGAGTGTCTAACGAGCCCCTTTCTTTCTTTCTTTCTTTTTTCCTTTTTTTCTTTGTTTTCTTTTTCTTTTTTCAAAGCTTATCCGTATGGTTCATTTCACAAAAAAGGATGAGTTGAGGCCGGGGACCTCACATTTCTACCCGGAGTTATCCCGACAGCTTCAGCCGGTTTAGCTTACAGGCCTGAGCCCGCGGAGACCAAAGTCCCCGTCTTTTCCGTGAACCAACTGTAAATTCTTACCTAGCATAACAAGTTCTTCTTAACCTCACTCTAAGGGCCTCGCCACACCACTCTCGAAATGTGAAAACGACAAAAATGTGGCGGGTGCATCTGGCCATGTTCTAGCGGCAAGTTCATTCTCATTTTGCCCATTTCGAGAGTGGTGTGGCGATGCTCTAACCTCTGACCTCCACTTCCAGGTAACTACGGTCTTCACCCGAATAGAACGCCCAGTCATTATAGCCGTACCTGGACTGAAAATTGCACCAGATACGGCTATAATGACCGGCCGTTCTATTCGGGTGAAGACGGTAGGTCACTCCTAGACTAAGCTATGTGGAGGGGATCTATGTAATGAGAATTATGCGCTACCTCTCCTGATCAACTAAGGCCAACTGCCTATATCAAGCCGAGCTGTCACGTCTCTTACAACAGAAAAGCGGCCTATTGACGGGCCCTTGTATCAGCCTTGAAGGGGAGAGCCTAACCCGTAGGCCACTTTAGCCCTTTTAAAAAAAAAAAAAAAAAAAAAAAAAAAACACATTGTTGTTGCTCATTAAGGGAAAAAAAGACTTTGGCCCTTTCTTTTTTTTTTCTTTTTTTTTTCCGAAAAAAAATCAATTTATTACCAAACCAAATCATTTCACTGAGGCTGGGGACCTCACAATTCCACCCGGAGTTATCCCGGCAGCATCAGCCGGTTTAGCTTTGTGTGAACCAACTCTTAGTCGTCACATTCAAAAGGATTCCATTGTCCCCTTAAAACCTCCTACCCGGTAACCTACTACCAATACCCCTTCTGCTAGCCTACCCTTACTCTACGTTCCTACCCTACCTCCTAAAGCAGGTCTAAATTCGACCTCTGAAGTACCAGCCTAAGCCTGGCCGGTAGGACTACATCCCCCTATCTAAAGCCACTCTGAGACCATCGTCTACTGCCACTCTTTGGCCCTTTCCGTTTGGCCAGGAAACCATTTTAATTTTACAAAACTACCCTACCTCCCCCAGGGTTGATTTCTCAACTTACGTGCCAGGCCCCTTCTTTTTTTAGTTTTATTAGACATCATTACACCGTGAAACAGAGGAACTCTGACAGCTGTGTTTGGCTCTCTGGCATCGAACTCTCTTCCTTCTTTGGGCAATGAACGCATCTGGCCATCCATGTTGTCCCTGTCCATTTTACAAATGGTGACCTCCTGTCCCCTCACCACCACGGGAAGTATCCTTTTTCCACGGAGACATTCACTCCGACTGTGCCAGAGGTGTTTCATTTCTCCGAGTTACGTAATAAAAAATCAGGAGAAAAGCTGTTTCTAGATTTTTTTTTCAGTTTTTTAATTTCTTGTTTCGAATTCATTAATGTCAAAATGGTGTCACACCGTTGCGTTTTCTAAACTTAAACTTCGGCGGTGGGACTTCACCCCAGCAGTGACATTTGATTTTGTATATATATGTGACAGACCTTTCTTTGTTTCGTGGATGTTTTGCTGGCTTGTGATGGGGTGTGAACCGACAGTCTGTAGAGTTTTCCATCTGGTGTGGGTGAGTGATAGTCTACTTTGATTTTGGT